CAGCTGGTCAAAGGATGCGGAATGGGGGATTTAAACCCTAGTAATGAAGGTGAGGAAGCGTTTTTTTATTAATAATTTGGTTAATTATTTTATAGATCTTGTTACCATACATTTATAAGTCACCATATAGCCATCAATTTAATTGTGAAAAATGTCATACTTACACAATATTACATAATATTGTATTATTGCTAACTATTTAAATAATTTAATGCTAATCTCTTTCTACCAAAAATAAAAAGTCTTAATTTTGAGTCGCATAGCATACATATAAAGTGAAATAGGAAATTGGAAATAGTTATCTTATGTTATGTAACTAACATATAAAAAATATATATATTATACTACATCTATAATTGTGTCATATTATTGTATGAAATAAGTGCATATTAATTTTAATTTTTAAAATAAATTAGAGTTTAAATTTTAAATTATTTTGTTTTATTTAATTGAAATTCAATTTAAAATTTAAAAATTTATTTTATTAAATATTAATATTTAGACATAAAAATTAATTATATTAAAATATATATCAATTTCTAAATTTATATATTAATATTTAAAAAGTAAAATTTTAAATTTTGAATTGAGATTGTTATTTTTTTAACATAAGTTAAGATTCTAATTTTTTTAAAAGTAAGAAATTAATATGCATTAATCTCTTATTATATAATAATTAGTTTTTTTAATTTAAGACTCACATTCACTCTTTTTTATATATGAAAAGTTAGTTACTTAGTATTATAAAATTTTAAATTTTAAATTTTGATTGCAAATTAAATTTTAATTTTTTTTAATTAATAGATATTAATTTTATAAGACTCTTTTTTTTTAATTTTGATTGCACAATAAAAAACAATCATTTTTTATCTCTTATCTCACCTCACTCATATATCATACGATTCAAACTCAAAATCTTTTATTTTTAACAAAAAAAAAAAATAATTACTGAATTACTTACCCTATTAATTTTATAAAACTCATTTTAACGAAGCGCATGTTCACCTATTATCCTTCTAAACTAGTGGTAAAATCTTGCATAACATTTTTATTTGAGTCACCAATCCCAGATCGAAACCTAGTCAATAAAAACGTACTGTAATCTCCGTTTCTTTTTCACGCATGATTGCCGTTTCAAAAAGGAGACCCTTTCCCCTTGACCGAACTCTTACCCATGCAGCCAAAGGAAAAATAAAAGGGCTTTTAATGTGTGTTTTTAGTGTACAATCTCGGTATAAAACGATAGAGATTTTTTTATTTAAAATTTATTTTAAAATAATAGTTATTTTATTTAAAAATATTTTTTATTTTAAAATTATAATTTACACATAA